AAAATGGCTATTTTTGTAGTGATTTTATAACATTTTTCTGTTATAAATTTTTAAAAATAAATAATTACATCTGCTCTACTTTGTATTGAGCACTCTTTTAAGAATAGTAATTGTTGGTTATTGGAATTTATTCCGTATACACCAATCATATAATTATTTATATAAATAAAAATAATTAAAACAATTCGAATTTAAGAAGTTAAATTTTTTGCGCATATGTAGTTGCATCAATGTAAACATCACTACAGTCCGATATCGACTTGAAGAACGAAACCTTTACAGGACAATGTTTTCACTTCGTTATTGATTTCCCTAATATTCCTTTAGTATTTTATATATAATTTTTCCCATATATATATATATATATATATATATATATATATATATATATATATATATGTGTGTGTGTGTGTGAAAAGTGTATATAAATATAAACAAATATATATATGTATAATTATTTATATATTATATGCGCGGTACTTATTAAAAAGCGCTCAATATCAGAGATAGAGCTAACATATCAAACTCACATCTATCCAACCAAATATATATATATATATATATATATATATATATATATATATATATATATATGGTCTTTTGTATATAGTATGTTTATAATAATAAGTTGTACGGATATGAATTTGTGACCCTAGGTTTCACGCTTTTGTGATCATCAGACAAACTGTCTTATTTTATGTATGTATGTTCTAACGCACGGATATGTATCTGGCCTTTGCTTCGATGTGTTTGTGTGAACTAAAATGCGGACACCTGTAAGTATATGTCTATACGTATGGCAGTGCCACCCCAGACAAACACAGAAGTAAATTGCCCCTCCCGCCACCAAAAATAGTCAAACAAGTATGAACAGATTCAATTTAAAAAAAAAATAAACAAGTCTGTCTGATGATCGCAAAAGCGTGAAACCCAGGGTCAGAAACTCATATCCATACAACTTATTATGTTAACTCTATCACTGAGCGCTTTCCACTAAGTACGCGCATATAAAATAATATATATATATATATATATATATATATATGTGTGTGTGTGTGTGTGTGTGTGTGTAGGGGAGACACGGAGGAGTAATGGATGGAGGCTTGGATTGAGGAATCGGAGAGGCAAGTTCGAGTTCTTTTCGAATCCATTATATTAACTTACGGGCTAATACCCTTGGGAAAGGTATGAATCATATTCTTCTCCTCCCCCCCTCCAGCTATGGTTAAATAACAGGATAGACTGGGTTCCATAGACTTGGATGGCAACCGGTGTAGGAGGAAAAGCTCCGAATTCAAAACCTGCGGAGGGTCTCTGTATTCGGTCCTTCAAAAAGTGTGGATGGTTCTGCACAAAACCTTCGCCACTATAATCAAATCTCATGTGCAGGTGTCTGGACAGCATGTTCCTAAGAACTGAGCTGCTTTGACCCTCATACGTCGAATTCGACAGGAGAATCAGTATATATATATATATATATATATATATATATATATATATATATATATATATAGTGAGACTATTGCTTTCTCTCTCTCTTCTTTCTCCCCATATGTATATATATATATATATATATATATATATATATATATATGGTGAGGGATAGAGAGTCAAATATTCACACTATATACAAAAAAACACATATGCAAAAGCGATATAAGGTTGCATTTACAGTTACGATTCTAAATATAAGCTTGGATAATATAATATATAATGTAATCTATAATATAAGCATGTTCATAATCATTTTAATCATTGATTTTGCATTTATCATTCATGTGCATGATCATGAATTGGAAAAGGAGTCTGGCATTTCAGATGAGTAACTGATAGATTTGTGAATAAAAAAAGATCTTTAAAAATATATTTGCTACTCCAAATTTCAAAAGAACATTTTTTCAAAATTGATATACAACATATATTTTGACCAACACACAATCAATACACACACACATACCAGATTTGTAGTAGAATGTGTGTGAACAGATGTATGGTAATAGATGTTTATATCTATATACAAGAAAACGCTTTTCTTTACTCCCTATCTGTTCAAATATATATATATATATATATATATATATATATATATGTATGAAGAAAAATTTGGAAAAAAAACAAAAAAATGCTTAAATGCAATTATGTTGTTTAAACAATATAATTGCATTTAAAATTTTTTTTGGTTTGTTTTTCAAATTTTTCTTCATTCTGTCGGATCTATATCCATTTACATTTGCTTACATATATATATATATATATATATATATGATCATTCACATGCATATATACACATATGTGTATGCATATATCTGTGCGTGTGTGACTTCAAATCGCTATGTATTCGCTTCACTGTTGTCAAAACGAAAGTTTTTTTTCGGATGTTTATTTTGAAGTAATACAAAAATTGATTTAAATTGAAGAAGTTTATTTGCTTGAGTCTGGCACAAGGAAAGTATTATGGGCTCTTCGCAACAGGATTTCGTAACTCTACCTATTAGCCATTACTTCATGCCCTCCATGATCAGGCGTCTTTTAATACTAAACTCAGAGAGAGAGAGAGAGAGAGAGAGAGAGAGAGAGAGAGAGAGAGAGATACATAGAAATTAACTTATATAGTAAGATAGATTTGGTCAGAACAATATATATGTAGGTATATAGAACAAACAGACCGGCATATAGATAGATAGATAGATAGATAGATAGATAGATAGATGAATAGTGAGAAAGTGGGAGAGAAAGAGAAAGATATACAAAAAAGTTAACTGATATAGTTAGGTCAGAATAATATATGTGCAGATAGATAGATAGATAGATAGATAGATAGATAGATAGATAGATAGATAGATAGAAATGATGTGCTATAGTTAGATACGGTCAGAATAACACACACACACACACACACACACACACACACATATATATATATATATATATAGATGGATGGATATACAGATAGACATTCAGATAGATATACTCAGAATTAGATAGATAGAAAGAGAGATAGATAGAGAGAGAGAGAGGAAGAGAGAGACCAAATTAATCGGCGTCATTTAGAGCAATTGCCAAACATCAACTCCCGGTTAAAGGTGTGTGCATTTAATTTACTACAATGACCTTGAGAAAGTCATGAAATCAATTTTCCCTGCTACACCGCCAACCATATCTGGACAAAATAAGTTTTCACTGTCCAATGGAGAAATAATTATTGATAAGGTACTCATGTAAGTGTGCGTGCTCACTCTGAATGCATGTGCGTGTGTGAGTGTGCAATATATATATATATATATATATATATATATATGTATATGTGTGTGTGTGTGTGTGTGTGTGTGTGTGTGTGTATGAGACTGTCTGAAAAATTAATCGCCTGACATATTTATCAAAACCTTAACAAATATACCAAACAAATGATACTTTTTTTTGGGTGGGGTCTCGGTCAAAAAGAAAACATTTTGCACGGCCTCATATATATATATATATATATATATATATATATATATATATATGTGTGTGTGTGTTTTGTATGTATTTGGGCGTGTGCGTACAAATCAATGTTTACTTACGTGTATCAATTACCTTAAGACAATTAAATTTTTTCTTAAAAAATCATATTACTACAATAGAACAGGATATATATATATATATGTGTGTGTGTGTGTGTGTGTGTGTGTGTGTCTGTGTAACAGTTTTTCATATATGCGTCTACACAAACGCACATATAACGAATAGTTTGTGTTTACTTGTCTGTATATATATATGCATATATATATATATATATATATATATATATATATATATATATATATATATTTGTGAGTGTCTTTGATTACATTATACATATAAATTTTTGTGATTACATTCGGAAGATAAAAATGAAGTGAATATCTATCTATCTATCTATCTATCTATCTATCTATATATATATATATATATATATATATATATATATACTTACAGATAGCTCCATATGAACATAGATAGATAGATAGATAGATAGATAGATAGATAGATGAAATTAATTTAAATGGAGAAATGCTACGATACGTCGTTTTGTGTAATTATCTTAAATTAAATAATAAATATTTCTTTTTGTTCGAAATAGTAATTTCTTCTTTTGTGTGCATAGCGTACAGAAGACGCTGATGCTTTTGTGCAGACATTTTCCTCGGTAGATTTTATAATTTTCAAAAAGAACGTTTCCTTGGACAAACACAACAATAAATAAAACATGCTATTTTTTGCATATATATATATATATATATATATATATGTGTGTGTGTGTGTGTGTGTGTGTGTGTGTGTGTGTGTGAGAGAGAGAGAGAGAGAGAGAGTGCGCTCGCGCAAATATATACAAAAAATAGGAAAGAACCCTTACGTGAATAATCCGAAGTTTTTTAGTTTTTCAAAAAAATCTTATGTAGCGATGGAATCATATTTTTAAAAGAATGATTATATATATATATATATATATATATATATATATATATATATATATATATATATATCCATATATATGTATATATATATATATATATATATATATATATATATATATATATATATATATGTATATATATATATATATATATATATAATAGATAGATAGATAGATAGATAGATAGATAGATAGATAGACACATACATATACATATATATATAATTATATATATGCATGTATATATATTTACACTCGTAAACACATATACATACATACACTTACTCGTATATGTGTCTGTATGCTTCTATTTATGTCTCGATATTTCATTTTTTCTTTCTTTTTTTTTTTTTCTTACCTCCATTTTTCTCGATTTTTAAATATATAGATATATATATATATATATAGGTACTTACCTGTTGTATATGTATAGACTGTCAGGACGTTTTGTGTAAGCAGCAAAATTAGGTGTAAGCCCATCACTCGGGTAAGTTTGTTGTTCTTTCTTGAACAGGTAGTCCCCTTGCCGGGGTACATGGTAGATATACCCAGCATTATTATCATCCATCAGATGTGCCCTGTCCTTTTACAATAGTTGTGCGTAGGGTGGTAAGCATCAGGGGTACGTGTGGTTTGAGGGAGTGGAAAAAGAACTGCTAAGGACAACAAGCGAGAGACGACAACGACTCCGATGGCAAACCATGCACAAAACCTCACACGCGCGTGCGGGAGAAAAAGCAAGCGGTCGGGCGGGCACACACACACATAGACATAAGCTACACACGCACACACACAAGGGCTGTATGCCGGGAACGGGGTGACGGTGAAAGATAGTTGGTTTGGGATCTCTGAGTTTTCTAAATTCACCGTTTGTGTTCAGGAAGAGAGTGAGTGCTCGTGCATATGGGCGTACGTGACGCTGAACCAAATGTAAACATACGTGTGTAATTTGTTTGTGTGTACAAACCCGTGTTTAAATAACCGTGTGTACGCGATTGTGTGTCTTCTTTTGTTTATCAAAATTTGCTATCTAGTATCTTGATACTGTTTGTTTACAAATGTGAAATTTTATTTCGAATTGTATTTTAGTCATTCTCGTCTTGCAAGAAGATATAATGACTCGACCCTTACGATTGCTTTTCTTACACCGGATTCCTTTGATTTACATATATATATATATATATATTGAACAATAAAAAATATTCAAAAATTAAAATTTTCAGACACACTGGGTTGTATATTAATATTCCTTCGTTTATATTATTATTTCATTTAGATTCCTCGACTAGTTTCGGCCAACATGGCCATCATCAGGAGAAAATTAATTTTCTGCTTGCTGGTAGCAGTGAACTACAAAAATGAATATATATATATATATATATATATATATATATATATATGATTGAGTTGGTTAAGGCTACCACTCTGAATTTTACCTTCAGCGAAACTGATTGACAGATGGTTGCACACACGTGTATACAAGCGTATGTAAATATTTTCCTTGCTGCCTTTGTGTACACACAACTAGACTACACGTGTGTACATAAGAGTTGCTCTATATGTTAAATTTCAGTGTTGGCGTACATACACCTATTTTTTCATTTGAGAGTGCATCTTTAGATATATACACGTATACTTAAACACATGTGACTTATATACCTATGTGGCAGTGTAATTTTACAGTACTTTCTTTTCTACGTGCATTAACGTGTGCACCTCTGCTGATTGCACTTTTTCGTGTCTAACCGAAGACGTATTTTGTTATTCCATTATATGTACGTAATTTTATAGGAAATATTTTGACCACTTCATAAATATACTTGTTTTGTGAAATTTATTTATTTTTTATATTCGATTCGGCGTGTATATATTAAACCTGCTGTATTATCCCTTCTAAATTTTTTAGGTTATTACGCCTATCTGGAATCTCTGCGTACGCGTATAAATACTAGCGTGTTTTATTTTCACGAGTAACTTGTATGTGTGGGCACACAACTTCTTTTTCTCTGACTGAATCAGTATGACTTTTTTATCTGTAGATTCACACATTAAATTGCACGTGTACAGTAGTATTAAGTAAACGAGAGGCGATGAACTATGTGAATAAAATATTCTTATTCAATCTCCGTGCATACAAGCGAGCATAGCTTTTAATTCGGTCGACACACACACACACACACATATATATATATATATATATATATATATATATAGAGAGAGAGAGAGAGAGGGGGGATATATATATATATGTAGAGAGAGAGAGAAAGAGAGAGAGAGTGAGAGAGATAAAACAGAGAGGGGAGAATGATTTGTTATGCAGTTAAGCTGGAAGAGAATAAATCAATGCAGATATCAATAAAGTGCTAAATAGATATGTAACACATGAGATAGATAGATAGATAGATAGATAGATAGATAGATAGATAGATAGATAGATAGATATGGTGATGACGAGATAGATAAATCGGTTGATAGTTTGCTGACATATATATATATATATATATATATATATATATATATATATATATATATATGTATATATATATAATTAGAGATCAACCGATTTCGCTACCTTGGTTTCGACCTTTCGTTATCTTCAGGCGATTTTTATGTGTATAGAGCACTTTTTTAATACTACTGTTTCCTGGTCCTGTTCAACTATGACCATCAAGTTTTCTTATTATATATATATATATATATATATATATATATATATATATAGATAGATAGATAGATAGATAGATAGATAGATAGATGTGTGGACTGCCACAAATATCCTTACACTTGGACAATCAGTGTAGTGTCCTTGACTAGATGGCTTTACACTCATCCGTTTCTCGATAGAGCGTCAGTCCTTTGTTGCGTAAATACGTTTCTCAGGACGCAACGAATGCGCATGCCGTCACGCGTATTATTCAAAAACAACGAGTCGACGTTAAAATATAGTGCTTTTGCTTTTCTCTTCACTTAGACGACCTGTGCTTAAAAAATACAAACAAACACCCCGTGCCTTTGAAATGTCTTAAGATCTCGATGAGAATATCGTCTTCCCAAATTGTTTGTCACTG